CTAATAATTTGCGAAATTAGGGATCTCCTAGCAGATTATAGAGATAAGGAAGGTATATGGTCGAAAAGATTCATCTGGGAAGGAATAGAAAAGATCAATTTCCTTACTTAGTGGAGAGATATCCGTGGCACAAATATACTAGTAGACGTTGCAATTAGGATGCAATTAGGATGTAACTTCTGCCGCTACTGAACGATCCTTTAGCACTTTCAGCTGGATCCATATAATAGTAAAAAAAATCGATTGACTACAGAAAGAGCTGCCAAAATTACTTATTTAGCCTACATTTGGACATTTCTAATGTACAACCAGTCTGATGCAGACAATTCAGATATTGCAAAATAAATGTTTTAATTTTAATAAATATTTTTCATACCCATTGCTTAAATTTAATAGATATCGAAAAATTTACCCATTTTGGGTAAATATTTTTGAGTATTTTCTCGGGAATTTTCCCGCAAAAATAAATACCTGGGTATTTTACATCACTAGACGTGAAGAGACCGTTTTCGGTCTCCTTTGCTGTCGCTTCGCGCTTGAAGTTGGTCTCGGTCTCGCCTTCCCAAATGCTACCTTAAGGTGTATTGAAAACAACGAATATTCTATTATTTCTAACCCCAAGATGTTAACTACTTAGTCTTGAAACACTATTTCAGAACATTATTTTTTAATTCTACAAAAAAATAATTTTTAAAAAATCACCATTTCTTTTATATCTACCCAATTTTCGATTAAAAAATATATATTTCCTGAACTTACTTCTATATCTATGTAATAGTAGTACCTATTTTTAATATACAGGTATTTCATTTCAAAACTAGCCACCCAAAATAACTTTTAAAATATCTTTAAAACAAAAAAACACGTTAATTTATATTTAATTTTTTTCCAATCTTTTGACGCATTATTTTTTTAAATCGGATTAATTTTTCACCAAGTTATAACCTAGAAACCGGAAAAATATTGAATTAAAATGCACGAGTATAAATACCGAGATAAACAAGTTAGCAAAAAGCCTTAAATATTTTTTGCGTAAGATATTTTTGACCGTAAATTAAAACAATTTATTACTTTCCTATCTGTATACAGATATAAGGAAAGTATAGGAATCATGATTTTTTTCGACCTCGAGTTTTCGACGGATTTTTACGTTTTGAGGTCCCCTGAATCCGTTTTGACTATTTTCGCGATGATGTCTGTGTGTGTGTGTGTGTGTGTGTGTGTGTGTGTGTGTGTGTGTGTGTGTGTGTGTGTGTGTGTGTGTGTGTGTGTGTGTGTGTGTGTGTGTGTGTGTGTGTGTGTGTGTGTGTGTGTGTGTGTGTGTGTGTGTGTGTGTGTGTGTGTGTGTGTGTGTGTGTGTGTGTGTGTGTGTGTGTGTGTGTGTGTGTGTGTGTGTGTGTGTGTGTGTGTGTGTGTGTGTGTGTGTGTGTGTGTGTGTGTGTGTGTGTGTGTGTGTGTGTGTGTGTGTGTGTGTGTGTGTGTGTGTGTGTGTGTGTGTGTGTGTGTGTGTGTGTGTGTGTGTGTGTGTGTGTGTGTGTGTGTGTGTGTGTGTGTGTGTGTGTGTGTGTGTGTGTGTGTGTGTGTGTGTGTGTGTGTGTGTGTGTGTGTGTGTGTGTGTGTGTGTGTGTGTGTGTGTGTGTGTGTGTGTGTGTGTGTGTGTGTGTGTGTGTGTGTGTGTGTGTGTGTGTGTGTGTGTGTGTGTGTGTGTGTGTGTGTGTGTGTGTGTGTGTGTGTGTGTGTGTGTGTGTGTGTGTGTGTGTGTGTGTGTGTGTGTGTGTGTGTGTGTGTGTGTGTGTGTGTGTGTGTGTGTGTGTGTGTGTGTGTGTGTGTGTGTGTGTGTGTGTGTGTGTGTGTGTGTGTGTGTGTGTGTGTGTGTGTGTGTGTGTGTGTGTGTGTGTGTGTGTGTGTGTGTGTGTGTGTGTGTGTGTGTGTGTGTGTGTGTGTGTGTGTGTGTGTGTGTGTGTGTGTGTGTGTGTGTGTGTGTGTGTGTGTGTGTGTGTGTGTGTGTGTGTGTGTGTGTGTGTGTGTGTGTGTGTGTGTGTGTGTGTGTGTGTGTGTGTGTGTGTGTGTGTGTGTGTGTGTGTGTGTGTGTGTGTGTGTGTGTGTGTGTGTGTGTGTGTGTGTGTGTGTGTGTGTGTGTGTGTGTGTGTGTGTGTGTGTGTGTGTGTGTGTGTGTGTGTGTGTGTGTGTGTGTGTGTGTGTGTGTGTGTGTGTGTGTGTGTGTGTGTGTGTGTGTGTGTGTGTGTGTGTGTGTGTGTGTGTGTGTGTGTGTGTGTGTGTGTGTGTGTGTGTGTGTGTGTGTGTGTGTGTGTGTGTGTGTGTGTGTGTGTGTGTGTGTGTGTGTGTGTGTGTGTGTGTGTGTGTGTGTGTGTGTGTGTGTGTGTGTGTGTGTGTGTGTGTGTGTGTGTGTGTGTGTGTGTGTGTGTGTGTGTGTGTGTGTGTGTGTGTGTGTGTGTGTGTGTGTGTGTGTGTGTGTGTGTGTGTGTGTGTGTGTGTGTGTGTGTGTGTGTGTGTGTGTGTGTGTGTGTGTGTGTGATACACGGAAAAACACCAAATTTCAAACTTAAGCTTTATTCTAGCGTCTAATGAGCTGATTAGATTTTGGACAGAGTCGGAACATCTGGGGGGGTACTTTATAGGTGGTCTTTTTTATATTTTATGGAATATATCTGTTATTTACGTTTGGAGAAGAAAATTCTTCAAATAAAAGTTACTTTTAATATAATTATCTATAATTTTTGTTTCATACAAAATTTTCCTAAAATGGTCCGTATTCGAGAAATTTGACAAAATGTAAAAAAATTATTTTTTTATAAAAATTGTTCAAACAAAAGTTGTTTGTAATATAATTCTCTATAATTTTTGTCCCATAGATAATTTCTCTAAAATGGACCGTATTCGAGATATTTGAGAAAATGTGTAAATTTCGAAATTGAAGAAAACTCAAAAACGGATAAAGAAAAAATCAATAAATTTTAAACTTAAGTTTTATTTCGGCCTGACGTGAAATGATTAGATTTTGGACAAAGTCGGAACATCTGGGGGGGTACTTTATATGAGGCCGTTTTTATATTTTATGGAATATGTCTGTTATTTATGTTTGGAGAAGAAAATTGTTCAAATGAAAGTTACTTCTAATATTATTATCTTTAATTTTTGCTTTATGTAAAAATTTCCTGAAATGGTCCGTATTCGAGAAATTTGACAAAATGTGCAAAATTCTGATTTTTATGAAAATTGTTGAAATAAAAGTTGTTTGCGATATCGATCTCTATAATATTTGTTCATATATGATTTTTTTAAATGGACCGTAATGGAAAAATTGTAGGAAAAGTGCTAAATTTAAATTTTTCAGTATTTTCATTTTCAATGAATATCTATAGAAAAATGTTTCGCGGTAGATGCATGTGGACAATGTATATATTTAGTTTATCCTTTAAATATTTATAGAGATGCTGCAATAGGTTGTACACAATAAACGGAAAAAGCCTGTAATAACTAGATAGGAAAGTCATGTGTTGGACACATCAGATTTTTTTTAGTAGATTATTGGTTTCCTTATGTATTGACAATTTAATTTTGACAATGGTTTATTCTTTACAAGAAAGAATTGAAATAATCTTTATTTATGGTGAAGAACAACGCTGTGCTCGTGTTTTTAATCAGAGACATCCCGATAAAAATGTTGGGCATCAGTTTGTGTTAGATTTAGTTAATAAATTTCAAGAAACTGGAAGTGTTTGCAATAAAACTGTAAGGAATCGAGTTTTAACTGAAGCTGCACAAGTTGAGATTTTAGGTCATTTTGTCATGGAACCTAAAACATCAATACCAAAAGTCTCCAGATTAACAAATATTTCTGTTGGCTCTGTGCATAAAACGTTACGGCTAAATACATTCTTTCCTTACAAAATACAGCTTTTACAACAGCTTGCTGAGGATGATTATGACAGAAGATTAGAATTTTGCGAATTAATGACTCAAAGGACAAATGAAGACCATAATTTTATTAAAAATATTTGTTTTACTGACGAGGCAGGTTTCTTTTTAAATGGATTTGTCAATAAACATAATTGTAGGTACTGGTAATAAAATTATTGGTCCTATTTTCATGGAGGAAAATTTAACTTATTAGAAAATCTGATAAATCCTCTTATAACCGAATCCTTAGAAAACCAAATAGATCAAGATGGAAATTTGTTACTAGACGAAGAAAACCTATTTTTTCAACAGGACGGAGCACCTCCACATTATGCCTTGCCTGTACGAAATTGGCTTAATGAGACATTTCCAGATAAATGGATCGGAAGAAGGGGCGCTATAGAATGGCCAGCGAGATCACCCGACCTAACGCCCCTTGACTTTTTTTATGGGGACATCTAAAAACTGTGGTGTATAAAACTCAACCTCGCGATATTCCTGAACTTAGACGTAGAATAGAGGAAGAGTGTGAGCGGATTACACCAGAGACGCTTCAAAAAGTGTGGGATGAATTCGAGCTGCGACTTTACCATTGCCTTGCCAACAATGGCGGACATTTTGAACATCTTATTTAAGTACAATGTAATTCTTACGCAAATAAAATATTAATAATGTAAATACAATGTAAATTATAATTATTTTAATTTAAAAGGTTAAAATGGCATAACTTGGTGAAAAATTAATCCGATTTAAAAAAATAATGTGTCAAAAGATTGGAAAAAAGGAGACCTTTAAAAAGAGCTATCACATGATACCCCTTTCTATTTAGGGGATGAAACTGCACGGTTACAGATACTTGTAAAATGTGTCCCCCTGTAAATATAAATTAACGTGTTTTTTTGTTTTAAAGATATTTTAAAAGTTATTTTGGGTGGCTAGTTTTGAAATGAATTTCCTGTACATATGTATCTACGAAATTCTATACCTGTGAGTAAATTTACAGATTAACTGTATCCTTTACTTATTACGCACATCTACCTATTTCAAAACAGTCGATAAAAAAATTTAACATTACTTACCTGCTGAGACAAAAGGAGCAACCAAACCTAGAATCAATATTATGTTCATTTTGAGACTATTTCTCTTTTTTTTTGGGTATTTCTTTTATATACCTACCTCAAAGTGTGACTCTCTTATCTGTAATAGTATATTTTATAGGTTGTGGAAAAAATGGTAATGATTTTTTTAATTTTAAAGATTAAAAATACTCCGTGTATATTATAAACGTGACTACATTTTTATGAAAAACAATAAAATAGATGTTAAATATGTTAATAAATATATATTTTTTAATTAATTCTTTATTTTTGTAGTAACTACGTAAGTAATTCTGTTCATTGCAAATAATTCAAAAAATAAATATGCACTTTAGCTTTAGAAATAATCTTATAACATGCTTATAACATTTTTGTTTATTTTTTCTACACCTGTATTATAATAATGTACTTATATGCCTTTGATCTGTTTCATAAATATACCCATTTTATGATACAGATTTTTCATACCGATACAGATTTTTAATCAAAAGAAACCCATAATTTTTCAATCCAGAATGCTGTGCATTTGACGCTTGTTCTAGGTTTCTATGTAATTGTTTTAGTTGTCAAAATCAGTACGTATTCAGGGCTGGTATATCCATAGATATATAACCAAGACAGATAGGATTATTTACAAAATTATTGAAGAATGAACGGTGGTGTCCGCGGTAGAAACTCAATAATCGGATTGAACATTGATGCCAAGTTTACGTGCTTTTAACTATAGATATATATAACCAATACAGATTACACAATTTCTGAAGTCAACGCGGATGATCCTCGACAGAAATGCAATATTTGGATAAAATTAAAATATTGATGCCAAGTTTGCGATGTTTTTAACTGTAGTAATGTTATTGCGTTTGCTTGAATTACTGTTAGGTCTTTAAATTGCCCAAAAAAAATCATGTCTGACAACAGCGGAAGTTGAGTAGACCGCAATTGTGGAGGGTCGTATATTGTTTCATTCATAAAAATTCCTTCGATACAGTACTAGTCCAGGAGCCAGTGAATTTTTTCGTACTTGTTTTCCCGGTCCGTGTATATTTAAATAATCTATTCCCGGTGAACTGTATATTTAAAATGGAACGCCAATCTATTAACAAAAGTAAGCCAGATTGAATTCGCGCATTACGTCACATCGATACAAGTGAGATTGTTTACAAAGTGCCTTTGTAGGCCTATTTTGCCCATTTCATGTATTTGTTTTTAAATCATGTTAAATTACTATTTTTGAAACTCAACAAGGAGAAAATCCAATTAACTCTTCCGTTGTGTATATATATAAGATAAATTAACTGAAGTTTTATTAGTAAAGTATTAATACTAAAATTTTAATGTAATTTACAGAAAATAGCTAGGTATGTATTTGTTTTTAAATAATTTGATAATTTATGAAAAAAGGGAGTAAAAGTGGAATGACCAGTGGCCAGTAGGTCAGTCAATACAAAGTATCATATATTTCTATTATAACATAACTAAAATACCTACATCTTTTAATCATAAGGACATAAGTTAAAAACCATTTTAATATATGCATTAGAATGAAGTAATAATAACTTAAAGAGACGAGGTCTTAAAGTAATAGCTGGTACAGCATGTTTTTTAAACGTTTCCTCATTGCTGCTAGAATGAAATCACTATGAAATGTGCTCTAAAAACGGCATTTATAGCAGTCAGTGTTCAGTCTTAGGATCTCTTCCTAAAGCCCTCATCCAAGCTGCATACATATTAAAAAATAATTTAAAAAAAACATATTATATACCTATATAGTTTTCGGTTCTGGGTGCCCTAAAAGATGACACTTAGCCGACAATTTGGCTCAGATAGCTAAAACCCAAAAGTCACACCCCGAACCAGGACGTATTGCTATCCTTTTAAGTAAAAAATAACTACGAATAACTTACCTGAAAAATGAAGGCGTCTAACTTTACACCAAAAAAACCATACACTTTTTCCCATTGTTGCAAGCATCCGATGACGATTAGGTAGATATCAACTAGAAGCATGTACTTAATGGTTATAAAGCTTATTTTAACACAAAAAGAATAAAGCACTAGTCGAAAAGCAGCAATCAAATATAAATAGACCACAATATTAAAATTCAAATTAAAAACTATATAAAAGACAAATACTCTAAAAGCGCAAAAGATCAGAACCAAATAAAATGAATAACCATAATAACCTAAAAATCACACTAAAATTGCAAAAACTATTACTGTAAAATCATGAGATTACATCAATAATGCATATGCGTCGGAGTATCGCAAATGTCAAAAGTACAGTGTTTCCATAAAAATTTAGCTATGTTTTTAGCAGTATTATAGGACCATTTCTAACACGCGCATCCAACGATATTGGCGTTCCACAGTTCTCTGTATTTTCCTCACACCTCTAGTATAAATGATTTGACATAACGAAACTAACAATAATTATAATTAATGTAGAGTAATAAGTGATTCGTGAATTCTAAATAAAACAATTATTATATAAAAGTGTAAAAGAAAATGTAATTTATTTCCTTATTTTCTTCTGTAATATCTTCAATTATTATGTTTAATTTCTATAAATAAACCAACTGGTTAGGTGAAACATTGTGATATAAGATTTTATTTATGTGTCCTATGCGTACACTTTAATATACAAAACACCTGGAACATTCTTTAAATAATTGTGGTCGTAGAAATAATTGTGTACATAACTCGTTTAAAAGTGCATTTTATGCACTTGCCAAATATATTATCCATACAGATTAATCAGACTATTTTTTTACTTAACTTCAGTACATCTCTTACTACTAAAACTATTTTTATCAATGGAAAAAAAAGGGCCGTGTTCTCGTATGTTTTGACGCATTTTCGGCCTCAGCTCATCGGATCCCCCCTCTAAATATATATGAATTTTGCTTAGAATTGCTAATCCTACAATTCTCTATTCGTACTTGCTGACTGGGAAAATAAATACCGAAAATCGTCACTGTCTCCTGGACTATACAATAGATGATGATGAGAACTTCACAACAAATACACTTTTATGAATGGCTAGTTGGGGATGTGGGTATATCTAAGGAGGTCGCGACATTGGAGTCCATTTTGGACGCCATTTTTTTCGAAATAGTAGTCGCCCATTGATCTGGCAACGTGGCAACCTGTAGGCCAGGCTTACCAATATAAGAAGAAAAATCAATGTCTTTTTTTAAATAACATTTTCATTATGTATTTTTTAGGATAAAATATTTCAATTTAATAAATTATTAATAATCTCACATGTACATAGAATACGTCGTGAAAAGTAGATCACTTTCAATTTTGTGCTGTTTTGGTTTGGTTTATTTTAAAAGGTAATTGAAAAGATGAAGACAATTTTCTTATAGATTAGGATGCATAACAAATTATGGCTCCCTTTTTTAGAGCTCCAGTCCCCTAAGTCTATTTATTTTAGGTCTTTTTAAATTGTTGGTAGGTATTATTCACTTCATTTGTATGTTTTTATTTAATTTAAATAATTTTGTGTAATATCTTGCGATTTGTTTTCTATACATTTTAGCATGTATTTTTTTGGCTACATCTTACAAAGGATGGCTTTGAAATACCTTTACAACAGAGGTACTTTCTTAGAAAAAATGTCTGCATGCAGAATAACAGTAGCATAGATTAACAAAGCTGACAAAAGAGTTGGACAAACCTTTGTCTAGCTTTTTTAATATTTCAGGACAATAGTGTTAACAGCAGACCACAACAAAAACAACCAAAGTTTAGTAGTCAAGCAAAATATTTCAGTATCTCCAGAATTATTATTCGCTCCGTGCGCGACAGCAGCGCCAATTTATTTTGGTATTAAAGGACTATTTCTGCCTATACTGACAAATACAATTTTTAATAGAATTCGTAAATAAAAAGTATATATGTTAGTTTTAATAAAAGTATATGGATTTGTAAAACAAGTAAAACATTAATTTATTGTTATTATATATTTTTCCCGCTTAAATTAAAGAAAATTATGTATAATCAATAAAAATCAATAATAAAATATAGACAGGCAACAGTATTTACTGGAGAATGTATGAGAAGTTGCCTAAGTCTAATAAGTTGTCATTGAAGAATTAGCCTATTCTGTCAAAATAAAAAAAATACCATTTAATAATTAGCGTGAAATTAAAATGTATAAAAAAAGGATCGTTATTTATATTTTCATTTTTGTTCGAAAGAAAACAGAACAAATGATTAAAACTGGTTTCCCATCAGTAAGTCACAAAATTGCAGTCCGGCCACATATAATAATCAAAGGCAGAAATCTTGAAATCTAGTCCTTGCTGAATGAACATTTAAGAATAAAGGGATATTAAAGAACATCGTAAAATGATAATTTATTGTTTATTTAAAACCTTTCAAGTTTCTGATGTCTACTATTTCCAGCATTACTGTTATTATCACAAAAATAAAGGCAATTTTTATTCTTGTTGTACACCTATCCATTTATTTCTTTGATTTAATTTCCACTTTGCTAGTGAAATTTTTTATATAAGTTTCAGTAGTTGTGATTGGCCAGTTCTGGACGGGAGGTAATGAGAGGTAATTAGTAATTATCATAAGTACCCACCCCCACCCTTCGCGCAATTAGCAAGTACCTCCCAATGAGCTTAATTGCATAGTGTAATTGCATAGTGTAATAAGTGTAATTACTTCATACGCATATAGATATAAGTATTTACTATGTATATCGAGTAGCGTGTAACGAGCATAGTAAGTACCTCTTAGATAGTAATTGCTATGTATATAATGTAGTGTAATGGGTTTAGTTCAAGTACATATGAGTGATTACTATTGTAGCATAAGGGAAATACGTCGGAGCATACCGAAACACATCCTTGACTCTCAACCGTCATAGCTATAGTGAAGCGCTAGTCTCCAGCAGACGCGCAAGACGTAAACATCGGTGGAAGGGATAGTTCCCCATTCTTCACAAAATTAGCGGGTACCTCTCAGGCTTGTATATTATGAATGTGAGTTGCATAGTAAGTATTTTTCAGATACCCTATACACCATGTGTAATGAATATCATAAGTACCTCTCATCACCCCATACACATTGAA